CAATAGCAAAAGACCCTAACAATCTCATTAAAAAGTGGGCAAAGGATCTGAATAGTCATTTCTCAGAAAAGACATACAAATGACCAGCAAGAATATGAAAAAATGTTCAACATTACCAGTCATCAGGGTAATGCTGTTTGTTGCAGCACTATTCACAATAGTTAAGATATGGAATCAACCTAAATATTCATCGACAGGTAAGTGGATAAACAAAATGTGGTATATATACACAGTGGAATACTATGCATCCACAAAAGAGAATGAAGTCCTGTCATTTGCAGCAACACAAGTGAGCTTGGAGATGATTATATTAAGTGAAATAAGTCAGAGATGAAAAGAAATACTGCATATTTACACTTATGTGGGAGCTAAAAAAAGTTGAGTTCATAAAAGTAGAGTAGAGTTGTGGTTATTAGAGGCTAGGAAGGGTTGGGAGTGGATTAGAAGAGGTTGGCTGACAGATGAATTACAGCTAGATAGGAGGAATAGGCTTTAGTGCTTTATAGCATTGAGTGAATATAGTTAACAGTAACTATATTTTCAAAAGCTAGAAGAGAGGATTTTAATGTTCCCAATATAAAGAAATGATACAGTTTTGAGGTGTGGACATGCTAATTAGCCTAATTTTATGATTACACATAGTATACATGTATAGAAATATCACTCATAGATATTTACTGTTATTACATGTCAATTAAAAATAGAAGGGAAAAAACTTGAATTAGAGGAAATGTATACCAGAAGAATGATGTATGTTTTGGTATATTTCAGATAGTGTGGATTTCAAAGATGGATCATGAAGCCCAATTAATTTTAATAGGTACTAAAAATGTAGCTGGAATCAAAAGAACCCACAAAATCTTTTGGGCTAAAGGTACTAGAAATATTTAAATTATATAATAAACCTCCTCAGAAGTCTTCAATAGTGTGTATTGGCACTATGTTAATGGTTGAATAATGGCCACATAGAGGATGTACCATTACCTGCTTTTGTGTAGGTTTGAAATTTTCCAAAATTAAAATTCAAAAATATTACCTAACCATCAGGCCCTTTCAATGATTATACTTAGCGGAGTGAATAGAATGAAGCATCAAGACCTGCCAGAAAAGGTAGCCCTGAGATGCAGTGTGAAGGGCTTTGCAGGCCAGTGAGAAAGTTTTTGCATAATGAGAAGCCTTTGGAGGATATTAAGCAGATGGTGTGTGTGTATGAATGTGAATGTGTGTAGATGTGAATGTCTATATGGGAGTAGGTGTGAGTGTGTATGTTAGGCGCGTGTGTAAGAGTATATGAGTGTGTGTGTGTGCATGTGCAGTTCAAGTGAATGTGTATAGGTTTCCTGCTCATACAGTCATGCAACTGGTGTGAATATCATAGCTGTAGTTGAAAGGTAATACTTGAAGTCTGAATTTAGCCTCAGTCCTTTGGGTGGAGCTTAGGGTGACCAGCTGTCCCAGGTTATTCAGGACAGAGAGGTTTTCTGGGATATGGAACTCTGAGTTTTTAAAATCTGAGTGGTTAGTCACCTTAGTAGTGGCAATGGATAAAGGGTACAAATTGTGAGTAGTTCTATGTTTGAATAGTGCTTGGTGGATAAGGAAATAAAGAAAAATCAGGCAGCTGAATAGATATGGAAGTCAAGGATGAAGATCTTTAAAACAGAGAGAGTGTCTAACAGTGCCCCGCCCTTAAGGGGATCAGAGACGATGGAGACTCAGGCCACAGGTTTGAGTTTTGAAAATATTATTAACTTACTCAGATTAGGACTTATCAGGCATGTTTTTTGTTATTTAGACTTCAAACAACAACAGCAACAACAACAACAAATTTCTGCCATTGGGTACAATTAATGTGATTAGTGCCAAAAACGTAAATTAGAATATAGACACAGGACTTAGTGAAATAACTCATGAAAGATAAAATATTGAGGCAAAGATGTTTGAATCACTTAACAATTTGATTAGATAACAAAGAGGTTAAGGCCATTTCTTGTAGTATTTGGAGATATTTAATTTTTACTATGTTAAGATAAGTCTCACATAAATCTTAACAAATCTTAGTCAACTCTTATGAGCAGAGTGTGAGTGTTAGGTGGTGCTATTCCACTGAGCAGTGAGATGAGGGAAGAATGGGCCTATGAGGTCTTGGTACTTTCTGCATATCACATTGCCACTTCCTCCCTGACAAGTATTTCTATCACTCATGGTCTCAGCTGCACTCAGGGCTGCCAGCTATAATCTGTTATCCAGCTACTGGTTTGAATAAATCAATGATTTATTTGCAGTCTCCTAGAACTGTAGGCAGGAAATGCAAACAGCAGCTTTCCCTCGGGAGGGCTGAATGTAATGGGACCCTTTTCTGTTTTGCATCCTCAGGCTCTGATGGGAATCTCTGAGGTTGCTCAGTGGAAAATTTCTTTTTCTCTCAGCCCTGATCTCTCCTGAAGGGCTCAGTAAGACTGAAGGAAAAGGATTCCATCCTGAGTTCTCTCTGCTCCCCATGGTGAAGGAAACAGAGAAGGAAGGTCAGGATTAAAAAATTGTTTTTAGAGGATAGGAGTTTTAATTGTGGACATTTAGGGTTTAGGGTACCTTCCTGACTCCACAGTACATAGACTTCTACTCAGGAATTTTCCACATTGTAATTTAATCCAGTATTCTTTTCCAGCCTGTGTACTCTTAGAGGGTGAAATTTTTGTTGAGTTGATCTTTATTTGCTAAAAATGCATTAAGAAATACATTTTTCTTGAATGGATAAATGCACTCATCTTTGTATGGTGGTTTACAGTTTGTCATAGACATATTATTTTGTTTGAGTCTCCCAGCAGCCCTGTGAAGTGGACGTTATGATTATTTCTGCTTTCCAGATGGGGAAACTGAGGCTCAGAGAGGTTTAGTGACTTTCCCAAGATCACACAGAATGGGGACTGAAGTCTAGGTCTTTGACACTAAGTGTAGGTTCTTTCTACACACCACGCTAAACTCTAAGCCTTTCCTATCATCATACAATGAAGCAGTCTTTTGTTGAGTCATCTAAAAAGAACACACAAATACAAACATTGCCCTGCTGGATCAAATTCACAAGGAGAACCACAGCCTAGTGTTCAACCTCAACAGAGATGGTTTATAGAGGCATGACTATTTCAAGCTCGTTTCAAACTCATGGTTACCAAGTGAGTAGCTTCAGGGTCATCGTTTTCAAAGCCTTAGATAGAAACAAATTTGGGGCTATGTGTTTGCCCTTAGCAGGTGGGAGACAGGGGACTATAACATTAGCTTTTTGAGCTTTTTGTTTATTTATTTATTTATTTATTTATTTATTCAAAGAACTAGTGGATTGTGTTTTAAAGACTGCACAGGGACAGAAAAACTGGAGAAATTGAAAGTGGCAAAAATACTGGGGAAGTTGCCACGTTCAAAACACCGCACAAATTTCCACAATAAGTATCCCTGGTTTTGCAATGAAGTGTGACTGGGGCCTAGGGCACGCTATGCCTTCAGGAGTTGGAGAACATGTCTGAGTGAAGGGGCTGCAACTGCAGCCTGGGAGCAAATCTCATCCACTCATTCGTTTTGTTTTGTGTAGCCCACAATCCACTCAACCAAAATTTCACCCTCTGAGAGTGCACAGCTAGGAAAGAATGGACATAGCTATGCTCCAACAGAATTTCATATCATGAAATATTAATTTTTTTCAACCACTTAAAAATGCAAGAAGCATTTACTAAATATGTATTTTTAAATGGTTGAAAAAATTAAAAGAATAATATTTTACGACGTGAAAATTATTTGAAATTCAAATTTCAGCCTCTGTAAACAAAATTTTGTTGGAGCACACCCATGTCCATTCATTTGTTTTTTGAATCTGGTGGCTTTTGTGCTGCAACAGAAGAGCTGAATTCTTCTGGGAGGGACTGCATGTGGCTGACAAAGCCTAAATTATTTACTCTCTGATCCTTCACAGAAAAAGTTTGCTGACCCCTAACCTATTGCCCTGACACTCAAATAACTGTTGGGGAGCTAAACTATGGAACACCACATGTCCTTCATTTCTGCCATTGTCAGGAAGGGAACGGGAATCCAATTCTTAAGGCCACCCTATACTTTTCACCTGCCGCTTGGATTGAACTAGTGGATCTGTGGCCACGTTCTGCCACCAAGCTTATGGGACTAAAAAGGCTGAGCCTTCTGTGTGCATTTGGCCCAATCTAGTTTGGCCTTTTCATATCTGGCCTGCTTTAAATATCTCATTCTAGATGCCTCTCAGCCTACTGTCCTACCCGTTAGAATACTAACAGCTGGCCGGGCGCGGGGGCCAGGAGCTGAGCAAAACAGGTGCTCACTTACTCTGGCCTCTTTCTTTTCTCTTTCTGCTTCCTGCCCACTTCACTCTTTTCCCTGCATTCTTTCTTTCCTCTCTGCTCACTTTGTTCCCTTTCATTCGGAGAAATAAAGCATTCAGGCCGGGTGTGGTGGCTCACGCCTGTAATCCCAGCATTTTGGGAGGCTGAGGTGGGTGGATCAAGAGGTCAGGAGTTCAAGACCAGCCTGGCCAAGATGGTGAAACCCCGTCTCTACTAAAAGTACAAAAAAATTAGCTGGGTGCAGTGGCAGGTGCCTGTAATCCAAGCTACTTGGGAGGCTAAGGAAGAAGAATCGCTTGAACCTGGGTGGCAGAGGTTGCAGTGAGCCGAGATCATGCCACTGCACTCCAGCCTAGGCAACAGAGTGAGACTCTGTCTCAAAAAAAAAAAAAAAAAAAAAAAAAAAAAAAAAAAAAAAAAAAAAAAAAAAAAAAAGCATTCAGTTGACCTTCACATATCCATCTGCCATCCTATAACTCATCTCTGTCTCCAAACATCCTCTCTAGACTATTGGTTTTTACCCATTCCCTCCCTTTTGGCATCATCTTCTGGAACTCCTGGGATCAGGATGTCACTCTATCACTCCACTGATAATAGCACACATGGCCTTTGTTTAGTCAAATCCAGAGCCTTTTTCTTCACCCATTACTTGCGTTGGAACCTCTGCAGCACTTGATAATTTCCAGCAGCCTTTCTTTCCTGCATCTTCTTCCTCTGTAGCTACTTTCGTTCCCTTTCTACCCCATGCACTGAGTGCTGTGCTGTGCTTCACCAGCCCTAACTGTATGTTAGTTGGCTGTCTTAAGTAGGATGATCATGTAATTCTTCATCCAGACCGTGATATTCTTGAGAATTAAAGGGTGCTCAATTGACAACAGACAATAAACAGAGATTGGCCCTGGCAAACCAATATGTCTGGCCACCCTCTCCTTAAGGCTCAGGGGGAAAAGAAAGTGGAGAGATCTCAGGGCAAGATGTGAATGAACATAGTTCAAGTCACTTTCAAAGTCCATCTTCAGGTTTCTTGGTTATTTCTGTTTAGAATCTCAAGTTAAAAATTCAGCTTCATATTCATAAAAGGGTCAAGTTATCTGAGAAGTGTCAGAGCAGGTTTGGGAGAAAAGAGAGGGTGAGGAGAGAGTTCTACCTGAGGAAAAGGCAGAGGTGATTGGACCAGGTCCTGCAGTCCTCCCTGAGTTCATCACAGAGTCTGCCCTTTTAGGTAAAGAAGAACTTGGTGCTGAAACCGCTTCCAGGCTCTTTTCAGCCCAGGGTTGCCCAAGATCAGTTGTACTGAGTGGCTTGCAGGGTAGGCAGCCATGATGATCTTGCACAAAATATTCCAGTAACTGTAAGTGTCAAAAATGTTGGACATGGAAAGAAATAGGGCGATTGCATTGAAAACGTAGAGGATGAGAAAGTAGCTGGTGGCTTTGATGGCCCCTATGTGAGCCTTCATGCTGGGGTCCCTGGACCCCGTGGAATTGCTTTCCATGTGTAAGGTGTGTCTCTTGAGAGAGAGGATCAGCAGAGTAGCTGCCAGGATGAACATGATCAGAGGGATGAAGAGCCCCATGTTATAGAAAAAAAACAGGTTGACCATATTGGTTTCAGAGAAGTACTTCTTCTCCGTGGAGTTGGAGGAGGGGATAGGAATGGAGCTATTCACATACACATTGAAGACATCTTTAGAGAATGGAAAGCTGAAGCTTAAGGAAACCAACACTGACAGCCTCAAAAGCCAAGGCATCAGCACTATGATTTTCCTCTTCATCAGGAAGAACAAAGGGTGATTGAAGTTTGCAATTCTAAGACAATAGAAGACATTGAGCCAGGCAGCAAGCCAGAGGTTGGAATGATTCAGAAAGACAATGATGACTTTGAAGAGGGTATACACTGCGTTTTGGTTATAAGCAATTCGGAATAGCAGAGTGAAAATGTTCTCCAGCATCATCCAAATCTGTAGCAAGAGCCTGGAAATGCTCAGCATCAACATAATGTAGTCACCAGTGGGGAGTGTTTTGCCCCTGGCCCACTCAGCCCCATAGATGGCCGTGATGAAGCCACTCCCAAGGATGCCAATGATGCACTGTATTCCGGAGACCACCAAGGTGAAGGTGACCTTGAACCTGGATATATCTTTATCTGTGGCATCTGTATTCACCGTTGCCATTCTCTGTGATCTTGACTTTCGGGTTTCTGCGCCAAGACTGCTCTGCAATCTTCTGAACCTTGCTCAATGTTTTTATAATTTTCGCTCCCCTCGTTAATGGTTATTTACAATTTTTCTCAATTTGTTTATCACATGACTACAAGTTAGAGCCTTCACATGCAAATGATGAGAGGATCTGGTTACTGGCTCTGTCTCAATTTTTCATAAAGATACATTTGTCTTGGACTTTCAGAAGCTCACTGAAAATAATTTGAGACATGTTTCTAGCTCAGCACCTTCCTATCTTATTTACTTTTAAGTCCACATTTACCTGATGAGGCATGAATAGTAGGCCATTTTACTTGTCTCACAAGATCTCTGTTACCTGCTAAGTTATCTGTAAAAGCTCATATAGCTTTTAAAATTTGTTTTCCCCACTTCTCTTCTTGTCTCTCTTACTTTGGAAGAGATTTTTATTTTGATAGTTACCATGTTTGTGAATAAGAGATTCCCATAAGCTCATATATGAACATCTTTTACTTAGAATTGAGTTTCTTCCAAGAAGGCCTGCTATTATAATGTTCTCAAGTAGTGTACAGAACAGCCAAAATTGGATGCTATTTGAGTTGGAGACAACGCAGTCTCCATAGTCCCAGTTTTCATTGTTTGTGTACATGTCATCAGTTTCAGCTTGCTGAGATCCACATGACTATTTGAGCTCAGAATCAGGAAGAATGAGCCTGGGGAGAATTCAGTGTTCTGGACATGGTGTTGAAGTTCAGAAACGTGATAAGGTACTATAGCTTGAAATTTAATTTCCTACTTTTTAATCCTGGCTGTGAACCAGAATGAACTCTGACAGTTTACAAGAATATGTAGATGCCCAGGACTCATCCAAATCTAGGAAATCAGAATCTGGACTAGGGCTCAGGCATGCTATCTTTTAAAAAAGCCAAAAGGTTTTATTGCTCATAGTCAGGATTGAGAACCAAAATCTTAGCTAGAAACCAATGAGCCTTGGGTCAGATTTGGCCTGTAGTCATTTTACCTTGCATTGGCTAATGCCATACAGCATTAATCCACCAGTGCACAACTTTTTTTTTTTTTTTTTTTGGAGGCATTTTATTGGCCAACATTTAAACTTAGGAGATTACTTATATGTACACACAAAAAAAATCTACCTTCTCTTGAAAAATTGGAAGATTTGGCAGTATTGGGTCTTCACAGTCAACTGGCCAAAGCAGAGTAGTGGCTGCCCGTTTTAAACAAGGTATATACTTTTCAGTTTGTTGACAATACTAATTCCTAGCGTCTTCTTGACACAGAAGCAGAGTGCCAGTTATCATTTTTCAGTGTGCTTGCCCTGTTATTTCTATTTGATCTTTTTTTTTTTTTCTTTTTGAGACTGGGTCTCACTCTGTCATTCAGGCTGGAGAGCAGTAGCATAATCATGGCTCACTGCAGCCTTGACTTCCATGGCTCAGGTAAATCTCCATACTTCAGCCACCTGAGTAGCTGGGACTACAGGTGCACACTACCACACCTGGCTAATTTTTGTATTTTTTGTAGAAACAGGGTTTCACCATGTTGGCCAGGCTGATGTTGACCTCCTGGGCTCAAGCAATCCTCCCACCTCAGCCTCCCAAAATACTGGGACTATAGAGTTGAGCCACCATCCCTGGCCTTGGCCCATTATACTTTTTTATAATATAAATGGAGGAATGATAAAAATGGATTTCCCCACCCCAAATTAATTTTATTTAAAATAAGGAAGTTGGCTGGGCGCAGTGGCTCATTCCCGTAATCCCAGCACTTTGGGAGTCCAAGGAGGAGGATTGCTTGAGCTCAGAGGTTTGTGGTCAGGCTGGGCAACATGGTGAAACCCTGTCCCTGCCATAAATATAAACAAATTAGCCAGGTATAGTGACACACCTGTGGGCTCAGCTACTGGGAAGTCTGAGGTGGGAGGATCCTTGAGCCTGGGAGGCAGAGGTTGCATTGAGCTGAGATAGGGCTATTGCACTCCAGCCTGGATGACAGAGCCAGACCCAAAATAAATAAATAAATTATTTTGAGCCAGTCTCAAAAATAAATTAATTAAATAGGGAGTCAGAGATTTATTATTATTGTGAAAATGTCTGATGTTATTAGATCATATTTGTATAGAAAGCACCTGGCAAAGCAACATATTTCAAAATTAAGAAAGCATTGTTTAGAGAAATTAAAACTTATATCAACACAGAGATTTGTATGAGAGTGCTCATAGCAGCTTTATTCTTAATAGAACTGGAAACAAGGTTTGTTGGTAGGTTCTGAATCTCCTGTAAGAGACTCATTAACTTCAGTTAGTTCTCCTAATTGAGGCCAGTAGTATTTGTCAGCGGCTTTCACATGTTCCAAAGCATTAAACTCATTTTTTGGTTTATTCTGTCCCAACATATGCAAGTTTGTAATAAATGATATCTCCCCAAATTGCTGGCACACAGTTGTTAACTTCCATTGTTCTGGTACTGTTTTCTATTGGTCTTCATTCATGTGTTTTTCTGATTTTAAGAAGTGGGAACAGAAGGAAATGTTGGGCAGGGTCTGCCTGCAGCCCTAGGGGCATAGGCAAGAGGAGCAGGGAGGGGATCAGCCAGTGGAGTGTGGGACTGGTGTTGAGGCTCTATGCAAGCTGATGGTCTAGGCTGACAACTCCAAGCCACTCACAGTGCCACATTTATAGCTGTGTGTGGCCAATTCATTTTTATTCCATATTTTCTTATTTGGAGAGCTGGAATGGAGGCATCATCTCTACTTTAGGGAAGTTCTTTTTTTTTTTTTTAATGTTTTGAGACAGGATCTTGCCCTGTTACCCAGGCTGCAGTGGGCACGATCTCAGATTACTGAAACTGCCCCCTCTCAGTTCAAGTGATTCTCGTGCCTCAACCTCCCAAGTAGCTGGGATTTTGGGTGTGCACCACCATGCCTGGCTAATTTTTGTATTTTTAGTAGAGATGGGGTTTTACCATATTGGTCAGGCTTGTCTTGAACTCCTAGCCTCATGTAATCCACCTGCCTCTGTCTCCCAAAGTACTGGGATTACAGGAATGAGCCACTGCACCTTGCCTGCTTTAGGGAAGTTCTCATGAGGTCTTCAAAGAACAAAAATTTCAAATTCTTGGCTATTAAGTTTGAAATCTTTGGTCCAGGCATAGGATAGAACAGACTGGAAGAATGCGTGGTTGGGGAAACATTTTTCTTTCACATCTCTCTCCATCACCACCATGTAGAATAGAAAATGCTTTCCAGTTAGAGAGGAATGAAAGAAGAGGAGACAGGAAAGAGCTAGAGAAGGTAAGGATCTCTGTTGAAGGGGTCCCACATCTTGGCCCACTGCTCATGGCTGCATGGGGATGTCAAAGGCAGACAGGCTGCAAGAGAGCCCCTGAGTCCCCCACAGCTCATCTGTACTTGGGACAGCTGTTCAGACTTCTTTGTGTTCACAAAAGGAGTTTGGAAATCTGCTAAGGGAGTTAGTGGATGGGGTCTAGTGGCCATATCAAGGAGACATTGCAAGCATGAGATCAAAATGTGGACCCATGAATTGAAGTCAACGTTAAGGACAGAGGAATGGCCACAGTATAGACTCTACATTCCACCTTCATGCCAAATCTTTGAGTGACCCCCAAGGAGCATAGATGTCACTTGTGGAAGACAAGAAGGAGAAATTCCAAGAAAATTTGGTAAGAACAGTGTTTAAGCCTCATATGGCTGAGAAAACACAAAGTACAATTAGTTTATGGAGCAGTGTCAACTCAGTGTGGGGGATAAATACATGTTTCTACTCCTCTAGCTTCAGTGCCCCACTCTGTGCTTCCCATCCCATTGTGATGTCTTGGGCAGGTTTCAAATATTCATCTTCCTTGTGCTGAGAGAATTTAAAAAAACAAATATTCATCTTCTTTTGGTTATTAATACTCAGTCCAGTTTAGTTGCATATTTGGTTTAAGTCTTATCTTCTGCCTTTCCCCAAGCATAGTTTTAGCCGAGACCCCATCTGCTTGGATTGGAATGAGATAAGGTGGACCCTGAGACACCTGTCTCTCTCTCTCTCCAGTTTCTGGCTGGTGTGGGAGAGAGAGGACTGGCAGCAGAGTCTCTTTATTTCCCTGGCTGCTGTTGTAAATGCACTCTCTTGTGTTACTGCTGCTCCCCTGGCCAACACCATCTGGCCCTCCATGCCTTCTGGGTGCCAGACGTCCATATGTTGGCTGTCTTGTGAGGATCTTGTGTGAGTCTTGAGGAGGCTCTGCAGCAGCTCTTCACTCTGCTGCCCATAACTCCAGTAGGCTCCCCCTTCTTCCCCCTTAATCTTTCTACATATGCAGACTCAGGTGGAGGGCTGCTGCTGGGATCCTGGCCGTTTGCAGCAGGGCTGGTAAATATCGCCTCTTATTAAGCTTTGCAGGTAGATGTTTGGTCCCAATTGCTGGCTGCTTTCTTTAGATCTGTTTTTTTCAATCCTGTCCACATCCTAGAATTACCCTTATGACTGGAAGGGCTTTTGCCAAGCCCCTATACCCATGTCCCACCCTCGAAGATTATGAAGAATTGTTCTGGAGAACAGCTAAGCATTGGCATTTTCAAAGCTCCCTGCTGTGATTCTTATATGAAGCAGGACAGGGTTGAGAATCACTGCCCTTTGGGAGGACTTATGCTATGGTTTATAGTATGAGTTCTAGGGTTACTGGGGTAACAGGAAAAGTGGCACTCAGTATCCTTGTGGAAGTGACCGATTGACTTCCTGAAGAAGATTAAGAGGACATATCCTCTTAATCAGGTGGAAGGAGACCAGATTCAGAGGTTGAATTATAGAAAATAATTATAATATTTTGCAGAACTGGGTTTTTGGTGGGGTGAAGTCCCATCTAACATATAGTATTAGAAAAGTAGCCTATTTCTTGTGCTTATATATTTTGAAAAGTAGGAAAAAGTAGATTGAGGGGGTCATATGTTCCGCTTTATAAATTGAAAACCTCTCCTATGTGCGTATTTGGCAAAAGATGTAATTTAAGAAAACAGCCTAGGTGCCAGTATGAAACAAACCACCGGAAGAACAAAGAAGAGGGCCATAGAAGAGACGTGTGATCCAATCCCAAGGAGATGAAGAGAGAATTGAAATGTCAACAGGCTTTGTCTTGGTTGTTTATAAAATAAGAAGTCATAACTAAAAAATCTGCCTGGGACATCAAATTCTTCACAGATAGCAAGTTGTAAAAGAGAATCTACTGAATGTAGCGGAAATTGTGTGTCCTGAAAAGATATAAGCATGTGCAAATGTAAATGTAACTAGAAATACTGTTGCTCAATGCAATGGAAATGTGGCTAAGAAAGAAAAGAAAAATTATGTGAAAAAGTTTTAAAATGGTGGCATTTGCTATTGCAGTTGGTGAGGATACATATTTAGTAATACTTAGATATAGGAATGAGCTCTACTAACCACCATGGGGGCTAAGAATTTTGTGCTCATGACAGACACAACCCTAGGAAATGATTAAGAATATAATTTTTGGGTATAGAGGAAACTTTCAAACAATTTAATGTAATAGATTTGTGTGCCTATAGGATGATTTTCCTGGGATGAGCAATGTTTGTATTGGACTTGCAACAAAGCTTAAACTCTAGGTGGCAAGTTATGTAAAGACACAGGCTTTACATCTACTTACTTGCATTATTTAGCAGGAATTGCTTTCTGCTAGAAGTTAAAAATTGAAGGTGTCCCGAACACAGCACTCATACTGTGAGCTGGAACTCCTTGTAGGGCTTCAGGCACGAAGTGTTGGATGCACCGTGTGATGAACTGGACACATAGCATGGCAGTCTGCTCACAACACAGACGGTGGGTGGCTTAGCCATGGCAGAAAGCATAGGAGCATCGTTGAGCAGTTGAGAGAAATGAAATTCACATCATTGGAGGGAAAAAGACTTGCTTATGTTAAGCAGCAAAGATTGTTATCATATAATTGGCCTTTTGGGTTGACAAACACTTTGAATATTTCCCTGCAAAGGCATCCACAAAGCAGTTATAAAATGTAAGATAGTCTGCTGCCAAGGGTGTTAAAAAAAGAAAAAAAATATTATAGGAAGGCATATCTGGCATCGTTATTAAGTCCTCTTTTCTGTGTTGGAATTAGTTTCTAGAAATGCAACTGATGGCCTGAAACCTGAGATAAAAATTGTGATACGCTGAAAACTGACTTCTCAAAATGGCTTATTGATTTCAGACTTTGTGAAGATAACCTCCCATTGTTCAATGCACCTTGTCAATTCCTACTTATAATGTGAAAAATGATTCATCGTGTGATATAGGATTGGACATTTTGTACAGTGACACTGGAATTCCAAACTTCTACAGATATCTTCACAATTGTGCAAAGACTCACTCTTAAAAATATCTGCATTTTTGAACAGCACTCTTCCAGTATTAAACTAAGTAAGACTATCATTTCTAGTTAATGGCTCCTAGTCAAGGCTGAATTCTGTTTTCATTATACAACTTAACACAG